GAATAAATTACTTAGTTCTTCTCGTTATAAACATGAACATACTATTGGATTCTTTAGGCACAGACACGTGAAACGGTGGCACTCCAGCTTAGAGAGCGAACCGTGTGCAAAACCGTGTGCACATGTAATCAAGCGCAGAGGTTCCTCAAGGATAAAAAAATTTTTGCGCTGAGACCGGTAAAAACACCAGTGCAGGGAAGTGCTACATTTGTTGGAATCCATGTCACTTCGCTCACGAATGCAGACGAAAGGGGCGTGTGCTATCTCCTACAGGTAAGTGCCCCATAATATCTGTCTCACAAGTTGAGTAGAAAGTGTATAACGTTACTATAGATGAATGTGAGCAGATACCAGCTATGAATATGGGCGCATGGCACTTCATCATTCTATTGTGTCGATCACTAAAGAAGTAAAGCCGTTGCTCGGGGCAAGATTAAGAACGGCTACTGGAGAGGACGCTGAAGTTGTAGAAGAGGTAGCATGTGAAGTTGCAATAGAGAATTAGATGAAGTCCTCATAGGAATCTTGTTTTTTGGCCAAGGGACTAAGATCGACATGCATAGCATTGATTGCAAGAGCTCATATATCAGCGAGTGGTCCTAGAAAACAGTGAACCTATAAAATTATTAACAGTTGTGTGGGAAAAGGTTGATGGAGATTTAGGGATGAAAAAATTATGGGTTGTTAAAGAAGCAAAAAATTTTACAACTGAGGAATTAGAAGGCAACGACCGGCATAAGGCCAGACAGCTTCTTCGCAAATATATCAACATATTTTGTAATAATTCCATTTATAATGATGACGCTGGGCCGATTCGACAAGCTGTCGAAGTGTTCCACTAGCCAAATGTGAAGATGTGAGCTAAATATAAAAAGAATTGGTCGAGAGTGCTGATATCGAACCAATGGAGTTCATGGCATTCTCCGTTAGTGCTTTTGAAATAGAAAGATGGTGAAATATGGTCCTGTGTGCACCAGAAAGACAATTATCCGTTGTCTAAAATGGTTCTAAACTTTCGAGCGGTTATTTGCAAGTGGAAGCAAGTGAAGAAGATAAAGGCCGATTCGTCAACCTTCTCGGGAAAAAAGTCAGATGCGGTTCTGCGTGGACTGTCGGAGATTAAACCATGTTACGAGGAAAGAAAGGTATGCGTTGCTAAGGATCTATGGTAAGCTAGACTCAATGACTGGCTCAAAACTGTTCTCAATACTAGACCTTTATAATGGTCATTGATCTGCACTTACTATCGCATATTCATGGAACAATGGTTATGCGATAGGAGACGTATTTTCACAAGTAAATGATGGGTAAGAGAATACTGTTGCCTACTATTGCTGGTTTATTGGAAGATCGAAGTGAAACTACTGCATGGCTTGAAGAAAACTACTAGCTTTGGTGAATTACATAAAACATTTCCACAAGTATCTGCGCTGCGCTGAAGTCCAAACAACAGTCCAAATATCCCGAAGGACTGCTAGCTCGATGGGTTGAGAGTTATGACAGGAATGCTAACGCTACGTTCCGTCGACCAAGTAGATCTGAATGCAAACTATGCTCAAAAGCCGAGGGTAAAGAAGACATACTAGACGTATTTCTAATGACAATTATATCATCAGCAGAGTGGGAGCCAACTAACCTACGGAAATTTCAGCTGGAAGATCTGGACTGGAGATAATACGTAGGCAAAGTGAGAGTAAAATGTCAGAATAAAACAGGCCCAGCAGACAGCTACTGGTAATTACGAATATCTTGTGGAAGAGCAAATAGCGGTTCTATCGGTTCTGTTAGGTTGGTTGCCGGCAATTGATCAAGGAATGGATTGCGAATTGTATTGTAGCTAAAAGGCCAGAAGTCTTGGACAGATACAGCAATGTAATTCAAGTGCGCCATTTGAACGAGTTGCCATGGATGTAGCTGGCCTATTTCTTACGAGCAGACTATGAAACAACATCCTCAATCTGGTCGTTTGGCAGCATAATTATAATCCTTCCGAAGAGTACATTAGAAAAAATCATTACAGTATATAAGGGGTTGTAACGGCAGCCTGTTTAATAGGAATGGGGAACGCTTATGCGTATGTATGCTAGTCTCTATATGTATATGTGTGTAGGTAATGTTAGATGATCCGATGACAAAAAAATAGTCAAGGAAAGCATCAACAATCTCGTTTTCAATGTAAGAACCCATTAACAAATCCTTTGTCAGATGTTCGTTGGGATATCCCCGAAATTGTCAACTGAGTGCGTATGAACATATAGATGTCAAATAGATAAATGAGCTGAGAGATATTTCATGGAGAACGAAGAATTATAATGTTTCTGTTTTTCTTTTAACAAAGTATCTTGAAGAGCTGTACTCGTTTGCGCCGGAAAATTAGAATACCTACGGAGTGCCGAGATAAGAAAAAAAATAATCTTTAATTGCTTTCACAGCAATTTGATTGCACAAGTGACACAAAATAAGATCAAAGTGCTCAAGTTCAATGAACTATTTGTCTAAATTCCGCAAGGAGGGGAGATTCAAACGTATTGTATGATGCGAAAACTATTGGAAATACATATATCGAAGTGTCCAAGTTCAACAAACTACTAATATATCCAGATTCCACTAGAAGGAGATTTTATGCAAAACCTTAGCAAACGGCTGAGTGTTGGAGAAAAGCGAGGTTCTCAAACACAATTCTAGGTGTCATTTATTGATATGAGAGAGAGAGAGAGACGAATCAACATGCGATCCACTGATTGCCAGTCTCTTGAGATTTCAGTTACTATGTTTGGATCATCCTAGCATTGCCCTTATACTGAGAGTTTTTTCATTGAATATCATTTCATTTAATATAATACATGGTCTCTGACTTACTTTAGACACCGCTTACGCGGTTATGTTAATATCTAATATTTATTAATATATATTTAATATATTTTTAAGGTGTAAGTTATTAATAATGTTTCAATAAGTTTTGAATTCTTTTCATAGCATATATCATTTACTATTTTTTAAAAAGAAGTAAAAAAAAGCAGTAAAGAGGAGTCAGTCGGTCGCAGAGTTTCAGTTAACGAAGTTGTTAAGTTCGCAGTAGAATAATAAGCTGTCCCTCGAAAATTCCAAAACGCTAAATTCCAATAACTAAGCCGTCAAGTCGTCGAGTGGTTAGATCCAATGCTGTCTAACTGTTCAATCAACAATATTTAACATCTTCAACTACTTGTATCTTTTCTTTGTATTAAATCAAATTACCAAATAACTTAAATACAATAAAATATTCGATTACGATGTTACATCTTATGATTGGGGGCTCAACCCTTGTGCTAAAATACTATACTACATCCAAAGTGAGTTGCATAAATTTGCTTCTAGAAACTTCAAGTTTTTAAAGAAAAGTATAATAAAGAACAAGAGTTTGCATAGAATTGAAATTTAATTATAATTTAAAGAATATCAGTGCGTGAGATAGTAAGGGAAAGACTGAGAAAAAGCAAAAGGGACAGCAATATGTAACACGGTCAAAAGCGGATAGCGATAAGAGCAATAAAAACGAAGTTAAAGTAGTGACCGGAGTAAACAGTGGAAATTATAATAAGTGCGAAATCATAGAAACTAAAATCGCCGCGGAAAATTTCGGAAAAAATCTGTCTAATTTTGATGGACAAAATTTCACCACGTTGGTTCGCTAACTTTGAGCAGAAGAGAGCAGCAGAAAAAAGTGTAAGCTCGGCGAAAAACGACGCAAACAGCACAGCTTTATCTCGAATCGGTGTTTGTAAGTACATATGATGAGCTAAAGAATGAACTATTGCAAGAATTTAAACGTACATTTACAAGTGCCGATATTCATAAAAGGTTAGGTTAAGAAGAAAGAAGAGTAGTGAAACTTTCCACGAATTTGTGTTTGCACGCAAAAAATAGCAGCGTTAGGTGGGGTAGAAAGCGAATTTAAATACAGTATGTTCAGCTGTAAATCGTACCATGAGCTTTATGAATCTATGAAGTGCTTGAGCATATGAACGATAGCCAAAGGAAATATAAACAATACGGAATCGTCAAAAGAAGTGTACAGGTCGAAAAATGGTTCATTGCTTTAATTGTGGGTCTTCAGAACATTTGAGGAAAGACTGCAAAACTGATACAAAATGTTTTAAATGTAATGGTTATGGGCATATTGCTAAAAACTTTCCACAACTTACAAAACGCGTTGAAGTGATTAAAGACAGTTAAAGGTGCAAAACTATTACTCTTAATAATATAAAAAATGAATGTGTCGTCGATATAGGGTCGGACGTTACAATAATCAAAAACTGTATTTACAAGACAATAAAGAAGAACATTGATTTACGAAAATCTTTAACGATTCTGAGTGGGCTTGAAAACGATAAAACTGTTCCGTTGGGTGCTCTCATTGGCCATGTGCAGGTTGACGGGCTTCAAGCTTATCAAACATTTATTGTAGTACCTGATTATACGGTTCAGTATGACGCTTTACTAGGGCTTGATTCCGCGTCGAATTTTTACTTAACGCTCGATGAAAGTGGCTTCAAACTTACGAAAATGTCAAGACAGAAAGATCTTGATCTTGTGTTTGTAATTGAACTCCTTCTAAACGGCTGGATTTTGATGAAATTTCTAGTGTGTATTCAAGGAGATTTGAAGGTGGTTTAGACTCACAATTCGATCAACTAGATAGTGTTTTAACAATGAATTTATTTATTTATAATTTGTTGTTATATTACAATATTTTACATAGAATTTCGACAGACAGCGCTGCAATCATGCCAAATATCCTAAACATTCATACTTCTTTGCTCTATATAATACATATCAGAATGAATACTCAAAAAAAACAGCTCGGCTGAACCATTTGTTACTTTTTGGTACATCTACTACTTTCTTTTTACGGATATTATTTGAAACTATTTATTTAAAAATTTGTTACCGTTACATATTTACATAATCTTTCATAAAATTTTCCTAGCCCACATAACTATCCTAACCAATGTTTTTAGATTTTTTAGATATCAGAGATACAATATGCCGATGTAAGAGAACCAATAGCAAACTCACGTGCAAGTGAGAATTTAGAGCAACGTAATCAGTATATTAACATCATGGCAAAGAGATGCACGTCAACGAGTGACTGACGCTCACAAAGCAAATGACCGATAGACTTTTCATCTCATCCGCTATTTATGGTTGGTAGTATGGACAAAGAATGTCAATATTGTCATGCTTTTAAATGCAAAGGTGAATCGGCTGGTTTATGTTGCGCATCAGGAAAAATTTCACTGCCATCACTGATGCCGCCATCAGAATCTTTGAAAACGCTATTTGCTGGGAACACATCTCAATCAAAGTTATTTTTGCGCAACATTCGTAAATTTAAATCTTGTTTCCAAACGACCTCAAATGAAGCAACAATATTGAAAATGGTCGCAATTTTGAAACTACATTGAAGATTCAAAGCCAAGTGTGCCACCAAATAGATTCATTGCCTGACGCCGATACACAATTCTTACAAATTTACTTCATGGGCGATGAGAAAAAACAAGCTAATACATGCTGTGCATACAATCGTATAGAGCACATGGAGGAACAAGAAGTCGTTGAAATTTTGGAAACGTTCTTGAAAAACAATAACCAATTAGTACGATTATTCCAGTCTCTCTTAAACAGACTGCAAAACGACAACTGCGTCATTGTCATTAAGGCCGACAAAGTGCCTAATGGAGAGCATACAGGCAAATATAACGTTCCAACTGTGAATGAAGTTGCAGTTGTTATGGGTCGTGATCCAACTGGACGTCGAGATATACGTATACAACGCAGAGATAATACAGTGCAAATAATTCAAGACAATCATGGATATCATTTAATATCAAACAAAGTAATCTAACTACAGGTAAAGTACTGGCCAAGAATGTTAGTGCAATGAACTTCTATGTGATACGTCCTAATGAAGATAATAACATTCAAACAAACAACAAACAAAACAAAACTTCGCTCTGAGGAATACGTTCAGTTGGGTGACGCCATTATCGGCAACGTAGATAGAACAAATAACATTAACAACAAAGGCACCGCATATATTTTTCCAACACACACTGGTAGTACATGTCATATGCAAGAATATATTCAAGACGCAATGATTTACATACGAGCATACATTTACATGTAATGAAAACTGGAATGAAATTAAAAATTTGCTGTTGCCAAATCAAACATCGATCCATCGCCATGATGTCACTGCACGTTTGTTCAAACAAAAACTAAAATCTTTATTAAATTTGATTACACATCACTCAATATTTGGCGAAACACGTTACTGACTTAACTGTGTAGAATGGCAAAAACGAGCATTGCCACATGCGTATATTTTGATTTGGTTAGTGGATAAAGTGCGCCCAGAAGAAATAGATATCAATATTTCAGCGGAAACTCCGGATCCAAATGTTGATCAAGAATTTTTTGATATTGTGGTTACTAACATGATTCATGGGCCGTGTGGAACTTTAAATATTATATCACCAATGATGAAATCACACGTTATCAAATAGTCGTAACGAAGCAATTTGGCGCATTTCTGGTTAACCTATACATGAGAGAGATCCAGCCGTTATAAATTTGGCTGTGCATCTTGAAAATGAATAGACCGCAGTACAACGAGCTTTAACAGCTCCAAAAACAAATTCAATGGTATTGTATGCAATACTTTCTTTGATGCCTGTCGTGAGTTACATTTGTTGGAAGATGATAATCACTGGGATCTCACACTTGCAGATACAGCACTGAGTTCATCGCCACACCAAATCCGTCCATTATATTAAATAATATTAACAACGTGTTTTCCGTCTGAAGCATCTACATTGTGGAACAAATATAAAAACTCAATGAGTGAACATGCCGATCATTCTCTTTGGCATGCCAGCACCCAATCGCCCAGCAGCAGATATTATTAACAGCGATGCTCAATACGAACAGCAGTTTGATAGAAACTCTTTGGCTGCTTTTGTTGTTACGAACAGATTGGCTTACCTATAATTTTGCCTCGAAAGTGAATTTGCCTAAGTTGTGTAATGGAACGCGATTAGCCATAAAAAAAATCATGGGCAACATTCTTGAAGCCACTATTTTGGGAGGAAAATTTGAAGGTGAAGTTGTACTTCTACCATGGATTCCTATGATTCCTTCAGATCTACCGATACCATACAAACGGTTACAATTTTCTATCCGTTTGGCATTTGCGATGACTTAATACAGCGCAAGGTCAAACAATGACGATTTGTGAACTAGATTTAGTAAATCCGTGCTTTTCTCAGGGCCAATTATACGTTGCGTGAGGAAACCATCGAATTTGTTTGTTTATATCACTCAAGCAATAACCAAAAATATTGTACATCCGATGGCATTACGATAATTTCAGTATTTGTAGATAACTAACTCAAAGAATAAATACGTTTTATAAAATAGTTTAAGATTGAACATTATCACTTTCAATTGAAACAACTTTATTTATTAAACACAGATGTAGAAGCTAACAATCTCTGAAGGCATACTAATACACATACTTACATGCTATCGATTGGTTGAATTGTGATAAATACATATGAATGACGTTAGGTATAGTAATAAGTTTGTATTAAAAAATTTTATTAAAACGGTCTCATTGTTTAGATTTAAGACGTATGGACAGGACAACGTTTGTCGGGTCCGCTAGTAAATGTATATGTGTTTATGCATAGAATGTGTACCTCTGCATATAGACAATATGAACACAAACTCTTTTGTAGCCCTCTAATTTTTGGGTTTGGTTCATTATTCCCGCATTTCGCATCGTTTTGACCCGCCCGGTGATCGCAACTATGAGCGAGTGGTTGGCGAAAAGGAACACAAAAACATACACACATTAATTTTTGCATATACTTAAGTACGATTATTTACATACAAAGGGGACGTGTTAATATCTGAATAGCTTAACATCTTGTATTTAGTTTTAGCTGTAACTTGTTAAACTTGAAATTAATTATTATTATAGCCAATCTATGTCACTATAAATAAATTGGATGTACGAAATATTATAATATCCCAATGCTATCTTTTCATTTGGTCATACATTCGGCGGTAAGTAGTTTTATTATAACGGAGTAGATTTAACTGAGCGTTTGGGGAGAATGCACTGACTTCAACGTCAGACTTACGAAGTAAAGTCCGTATAAGGTAGTAGCATTCCTATAGGTATCGGAGCAAATTGAATTCATGGTCATTCGAGTCATGGGAATGAATGTGGTGGGACGACTCCAGCTAACCTGGACGCTCTTATCTAATTCCCCACCTTATCCTATTATCCTTTTTTTCAGGCAGGATATAGCTTTAGAATTTGTGAATAATTTTTCTAGAAACCCTACTAAGTCCGAATTCTCGTCTGAATATTAGTCTAGCAAGCAGGCTTTGCTGTCCTATACTTCCATCCCATCTCTTTTATCCCTTTTAGGCAAACATTTTGACTAAAACCTAACTTTAATTGAACTCCGATTTCCTCTATGTATTATCAAAAGTAGAACTCCTGGCTTAGATAAAATTTCCTATCATATTATTAAACATCTCTTTTCTCTTCTACTTTCTCGACATACCTATCTCTACAATAACATTCTAACTTTGCTCAAGTATGGGAAACCAGCGTAATCGCTCCCATTCTGAAACCTTGCAAATCTTGAGGTTTTATCTAAAGCTTTACACATTTAAAGAAAACATAATTGTAATTTTCCCCACAATTTCATTCAAAAATTTAATTATTTTACTTTCCCCTATACTTTAGTTCTTAGCATTGATGCTAGATAATATACATATATTTAAAAACCGAGGCGCTTATACTCTCTGTCATCAATTATGCTCTGTAAATCTATTGCTTGCCGACCCATATCACACAGATATAAGAAGAGCAACGAGCTTTTCCAACTTCAACTAAAAATTTATTGGCAGAATCTAGAAGGCAATATGGAAAACATCTTATTGCTGTTATGAAATAAAGGATTTTTAGTATAACTTGAAGGGTTATTCAATTGTTGGGTAAAATATCAAAACGCTAAATCACAAATTGGAAGAGGAGCTCGGCCGAAAATCGCTTGAGCGGTAAAAAGTGCCAATTATATATAAACATTCTGCCGTTAAAGCCTCTCTGTTGATGGCACGAACCTTATAAAGGACATGAACACAATCTAAATAAGAACTCACATATACTTTCATTATTACTTACTTATATTTATAAATATATCGATACCTGATGACTAAAATTCTAACATCAAATTTGTTTATATTTAAAGTAACCCTACCTGCAACCTTTGCCTGCATCCGTTATTTAACTAAAATTGAGTCGTAAATTAAATACGTATGTAGAAAATTATTAATTAATTATCTCGCATATCATCGCTAAACACGCTTGAAAAATTTAAAGTTTTCAAATAAACAAATAGTTATAATTGCAATTGTGCACTAAAAGAAAAAAGTGCTCTTTCTTTACAAATGTATAATAAAAACGTATATAAATGAAATATTCAACGGTGTTGAAATCATATAAAAGGTGCGGGTGACAATATATTAGAATATAGCAAAAAAAAATGATATGAATATAAAGTTCTTCTGTGCCAATGATGGTGAAAGTGAATAAAATACATTAAACAAAAATGTGTACACCGTGCAATATCAGAAATAAATAAAATTGTTTAGAATATTAAGCTCGAATTCAAACAATGAATAAATACGTGGAGCCAGTATTAATATTAGATGGCGTTATTGTTGTTGTTGTTGTAGCGGTTCGCTAACCCTGCTTAGGGACAAGTGTGATTAATCTAAGTCGCCGAGGTCATCTAGTGGGAGGTCCAGGAAACGAGCTGTTTCGACGGGGTTGGATCAAAGGGAGAGGGCGATTATATAACACTCTCCACATGCTGGGGTCATTCATGAGAAGAGAGTCCTTGAAAGTGTTAACTGACTCCTGGTGAATGGCGTTCAGTGTTTGTCTGTACGCCATTTTTTTCAGCGGTTGTTATACGTGTTGCTGGATTGTGCCCTTGAGATATAGTACTCCCTTTCTGATGTGCCTAGGTGGGGGTTCAGCTTCTATTAGGTGCCTATTGGGGAGCTCCCTGCAGTAGCATCCCAATAGGAACTGCTTGCACAGCAAAGTATTATGCTCCTTAACTCGTAGCATGAATGCTTTGCTGTACAAGTGATGCTACGGCGACATCAGGAGGTTTCTTGTAGCGGTCCTGAGGGTGATGTTTTGGCAAGCCTGTATCTTCTTTACCTGCGTCTCGTTGGTCCCCTGCGCCCAGATCGGTGCAGCATAGTTTACGACCGGCCGGCCAATTCCTTTATCTGTTGCCAGCAAAGTTTTTTATCTTTACCCCAGGTGCTGCCGGCTAGTGCTCTGAGTAAATTCTGAGAAAATTCGCTATAATTTACAACTTTTCTTCGATCAAGGCGAAAAATCACCCAAAGCGATTGAAAAAATTAATTTAGCTTATGGGCCCGGTACTGTAAACGAACGTGTAGCACAAAAGTGGTTCGGTAGGCTCCGTTCCGGTAATTTCGATGTTAAAGATGCACCATGCGTCGGTAGGCCTGTCATCGAAAATTACTATAAAATCATGGAAATAATGGAAACAGACCGTCATGTAAGCACTTATTTAATCTGCTGAGGAACTAATGATAAGCCAGAAAACCTTTTGGAACCATTTGATTAGCCCTTGATTGCGTTTGACAAGAAATCATCTACCACAAGCTGCTCCCTTATGACCAAACGCTCAATTCGGCCCACTACTGCCAACAAATGGACCGTTTGAAGGCAGCACTCATCCAGGCCATCTTTAATCAACAGATGCCTATTTATGGTCCATCAGGACAACGCCAGACCACACACGTCTTTGGCGACGCGCCAGACGCTCCAGGAGCTCGGATGGGGGGTCCTAATGCACCCACCTTACAGTCCAGACCTGGCACCAAGTGATTACCATCTTTCCATGTCCATGGGGAACTTAATGGTGAGAAGTTGGCTTCAAGAGAGGCCTGCGAAAGTTGGCTTTCCGAGATTTTTGCCGCCTTCTATGAGAGGGAAATAATGAAAATGGCATCTCGTTGGCAACAGGTTTACGAACAAAACGGCCCATATTTGACTTAAGTCGGACAAATGTACACAAAGTTATCATACTTTGAAAAAAAAACGAGCTATTTACTTGACCTAATCCATGGTCTCTAAATTACTTTACTGGCGAAGACACCGTTTACGCGATTATAGCCGATTTACAATGCGCCATTCGTTTCTGCTTTTTGTTGTTTGGCGCCAATTGGAAATACCAAGTACAGCCGGGTCCTTCTCTACTTGGTCTTTCCTCTGTTTCCACTGCCGGTACTGCATCGAAAACTTTCAATGCTCGAGTAGTCGCATCCAAACGGATCACATGACCTAGCCAGCGTAGCCGCTGCTTCTTGATTCGCTGAACTATATCAATGTCGCCGCATAACTCGTCGTTCCATCGTCTGCGGTATTCGCCGTTGCCAATGCGCAAAGGACCATAAATCTTACGCAAAACCATTCTCTCGAAAACTCCTAACGCCGACTCATCAGATGTTGTCATCGTCCATGCTTCCGCACCATTTAGCATGATGGGAACGATAAAGAACTTGTAGAGTTTGGTTTTCGTTCATCGGGAGAGGACTTTACTTTTCAAATTGACTACTCAGTCCAAAGGAGCACCTGCTGGCAAGAGTGATTCTGCGCTGGATTTCAAATTAGACGTTATTATTGGTGTTAGTGCTGGTCCCTAGATAGACGAAATTTCTACGACTTCATAGTTATGACTGTCAACAGTAACGTGGGAGCCAAGTCACGAATGCGATGACTGTTTGTTTAATGACAGGAGATATTTCGTCTTATCCTCGTTCACTACCAGAGACGTTCGCATCGCTTATTTATCAAAAAGAAAGCAGAACTAACGGCGTGGTTGTTGAGGCTGATAATGTCAATATCATCGACGAACGCCAGTAGGTGTACACTCTTAAAGAAGATTATACCTTCAGCGTACACTCTTAAAGAAGATTGTACCTTCAGCTCTGCTGCTCTTTTTATTCCCTCCAGCATCAAATTGATGAAATCATACGTCCAAGAGTCACCATATCTAAAACCTCGTTTGGTATCGAACGGCTGGGAGAGGTCTTTCCCAGTTCTGACTGCGCTTCTAGTGTTGCCAACCGTCAACTTACACAGTCGTATAAGTTTTGCGGGGATACAAAATTCAGACACAGCGGCATAGAGGCAGCTCCTTTTCGTCCTGTTGAAAGCTGCTTTAAAATCAACGAAGAGGGTTTTTTCCAAGATTTGGTGCATGGTGAATATCTGGCCAATGGCTGACTTACCAGGTCTGAAGCCACTCTGATAAGGTCCAATCAGCTTCTTGACGGTGGGCTTCAGTCTTTCACACAATACGCTAAACGATACTAAGGAGGCATATCCCACGGTAATAGGCGCAGACAGCTGGGTCCCCCCTTTTATGGTTTGGGCAGAGCACACTTAAATTCCAATCGTCGGGCATCCTTTCTTCCGGCCATATTCTGCAAATAAGCTGACGCATGCGCCTTGTCAGTTCTTCACCGCCATGTTTGAATAGTTCAGCCGGTACACCGTCAGCTCACGCCGCTTTGTTGTTTCTTAATGGGGCGTTTGCTATTCGAAATTCTTCATGGTCTTTTTCATAGTCATCGATTGAGGTATTGGGTTCACCATCTCCAGATTGTCCTTTCCATTCAGCAGGTCTGATAAGTGTTCTCATAAATTCAATACATATAATAATAATAATAATAATAAGTGGCTAGATCACCTATTTGCTTCCTACAAGAGTCTGCTCCGGTCTTGAAACCTTCCGTAAGTTTTCGTATCTTCTCAAAAAATTTTCGATCATTACCCTTGTCGATCAGCTTCTGAAGCTCTTTGTGCTCACGCATCTCGGCCTTTTTTTTTGTCTAAGATGCGTCTTGCTTCCCTTGTCAGCTCTGTATCTATCCCATCCCGCACGTTTTGTGGTTGATCGCAAGGT